TTAAAATTTGTTAAAATGATATACAATTGCATAATATATGTACATATATGTAAATTCATAATATGTGCTCATATTTCCCCATATTTAGTAATATTTCATACTTTTATTTTATAAATTTTCCGTATTTTCTATATTAGATTCATCTACAAACATATTTTAATTAATAATATTCATAAATTATCTTTGCCGGTGGTAATATATTTTATAGAAATGCAACGGAAGAAATAAAATCTGGGGAAAAAAAATTCAAATTTTATAATATCATTCATTTGATAGTATTAGAGAGTTTAAGTATATTTGCGAACAGGGTGATTATATCAAAATTACTTCTTGCACTGCATATCCACTACTGGATGTTAGCGATCATATGATGCTAAATATTAAATTTTTGAATCTGTCTCTATCAGTTGCCTGATGTATCAATTCGCCCGCATTTGTTATAAAAGTCCAATTTCTTATATTACGGAGCCATGATAATTGTTTTCTGCCAACTCCTCTTCTACCTTCAATTTTGCCTTGAACAATGAGTTGAAGAATTTCATATTTGTCGTTTCTCATGACATGCCCGAAGTAAGAGATCTTTCTTCTTTTGACATTTGTTAAAAGCTCTCGATTTGTATGCAACCTCTTCATTTGAAATGTGATCTACCCAAAATATCTTCAGCATTTTCCGAAAAATCCACATTTCAAACGCCTCGAGTTTGTTCATGTTTGTTTGAGAAAAGACAATGAATAAATATACATATTTAGATCGAGTCTAACATTAATTGGAATTATTTATCAACTTAAAATTTTACGTTGTTCGTGTTTATTTTGTAAAATTTTTAGCTTCGTAAAGAACTTCAGATTAAATAAAGAAGCATTTAGATGTATACTTGATGAAATATGCGCCATTTTAAATTTGATATTGAAGCCGATCAACTTCTTCCCTAAATTCAAATTAAATTTAATAATTATTTTCAATGTTGTTTTATAATACTCATATATTTTACTTTAATATTGTCACTTACTCAAAAGGCACTTACATTTTTAATTTTAATTGTATTTGCATATTTCACCATTCGGAATTTTGCTATCGAACCAAATAATCTAAAATCGAGCAGTTTTTGATTCAAGTTTCGAGATACATAATTCAACAAAACGAATAAAAATATCAAAACGGAATTATTCGAGTGTCGAGAAAAATACTTGAATTTCGAGATACAAACAGTCAGTCCATTTTCGAATAAATTCATTTTAGAATCGAATTACATAATAGAGCTACAGGATATAAATCGAATATTAATTATCGAATATTGTGCTTGCAACAAAATTCTTAGGAAAATTCTCAATGATCATCTTTGGAAAATATTTTAGCATTCCGCTGATAATTTAATAAGAAATAGATGAGATTAATAAAACAGCAGCACAAAATTTGAATTCTACTGTATTTGAATGCAATTTCGGCCAACAAATGTATTGCAAGCCAATGAACGTCGAGGACTTTAATCAATAAGAATTTATTGTGAATTGTAATCGGTCCAATATTTTATTAAAATGCACCTGTATTGTAATTTAATTTAAACAAAATTTTATTTGAATTCGGATTATAATAAATTTTTCAAAATTAATTATAATTTTGCATGTTTTCGCAATTTTAGACACAAAAAAAAGAGTGCGATTTCTTTCATTTCAATTAAATTTTTCTCTGTGTCTCATATATTTCAATTTTTATTCTTATTATACTGTTGGAAAACTTCAAATAAATTTTATTGTTGAAGCATTGCCCCATTCAGTGCATTTAGTATGTTAAGTAACTCTTTTCTTAAACATGAATTGAGCATGTTATGAAGAGTACAAAGTAATAAAAAAAAGTGTGCATTGTGTAATATGCTTGTCTACTTTATTTTTTTTTTGTAAAGATGTGTCATGGTAATTTGTATTAGGCTTATTAAGTGAATATTAATTTTTTTTTATTTAATATTTACAATTTTAATTATTAACTGCCTCATATATACTCGTAATATAAAAAAAAATAAAAATAAAAAAAAATCGTGTTTACTGTTTTAAAATTTCACTTTGAAAAATTATCGAAGTATAAAATTGTAACTTTAATATAGATTTTTGTTTCCAGGGTTTAGTTTTGAGGTTAAGAACTATGCGAACAAAACTGCATAATATGCTTCGCCGTAGCCACAATATGGAATATTAAAATTTCTTTGTTAATGGCACTAAAAATTGATTTCTAATTTAAATTAATTTAGGGGATAAAAATCTGTTTTGAATTTAAAAAAAAAAGGTCTATTTAAAATCATATAGAAAACAGAATGTTCAATAGTCATTAGTTATGAATTTTGAACTCGGTCCTGTGTATATACCGAAGCAGAAAATATAGGTGTAATGTATGAAAATTTGAACTAATTTATAAATACATACAATCCAAAAGTTGTTCAACTTCGGCAATGGCCGTCAAATTTATTTCAATAAATTGTAAATTTATTTCCTACTTGGCATGAACTTTGACCGTTTTACAAAATCCTGATACTGTAAACAAAAAACTTAATTTAGATATTGTGAACAGAATTCTATTTTTATGTTATGACAATGTCTTTTTTTTTATGACTTGAGCTAGCAACGTCAAAAGATTCTAAAGAATTAGCGAAAAAAATCATTCTCCTATCATAATTCGAAATGTCATTCGATTATCGCTTAGTTTATTCGATTCCTCAAAGTTATTCGCTTAGAGGATCATAATAACGGTATAGTAATTTTTTATTTTATCAAATGTGACTTCTCGACACAAATTTGTTTTAAAATTGTAAATCAATGTCCGGCATGAATTCAATTCAAACTCTGGTTCAGAAGCCCAGTACGTAATTTTTGTTTTTATTTATTTGACCATCCATCCAGCAGCTCCAACCGACCGCTCAGTTACTACGGTACAAATTCTCAAAATTCGTAAAGTCTTGTATTAAATATTTATTTTAAACGAAATAATCAACCACAATTAAATTTAAATTTTCAAATTTTTCTCATTTATTTATACTTCAAATTTATTAATTTATCACAGTACATAGTTTAGTGTTTTCATTACATTATTTAAGTTTTTTTTTATTTGTTTTTTATTTAATTTAATTTAAATTAGTATTTCTAATTATAGTTTTTTTTTATTTCATACATTGTGTGTCTTTTTTATGCTTATACAATTTTCATAATTAACTAAATTTTTTACTTTTCAATACGTTTTTTTTTTGTTTGTCTTTTAAAATACAACATAATAATTTTTTTTTTTAATTTTTTTAATTTTTAATTTTTTTTTTTTAATACTACACGGGCACAAAAAATAAGGAATAAAACATTTTGTATTTGAAATTATTGGATTCTTTTTATAAAATGTACATAAATTTTTTTTTATTTCAAATTAAATTAATTATGTTAAATTATACTAAAATATTACAAAAAAAAAATAAAATATAAAAACAAAATTAATTTTTTTTATTACCATGTTTTATGAAAAAAAAAAAAAATTGAATTACTGCAAAAATTTTATGAAATATTTATTTTGTAGCAAAGTTTAATTGTAATAAATGTGCAAGAATATTTTAATAATTATTGAATAAAGCAGAGAGTTTGTGTAATTTGTAATTAATCTCCAATATAACATTTTACCAGTATAACTCCATACCAGTATAACCATACCAGTATAACATTTTAATTAAGCAACAAAGAAAATTCTAAAATATTGGGGTCTTATTCTGAGTATCGAATTGCAGCTAAATTACGTATAGTGATAGTTTATCTTAAAAACAATTTGATAATATTCTAAACACAAACCAATTCATACATATGATTCGTGTCTATAATAAAGTTTTTGACACTTTTATGATAAATATCACTATCACCTTAGTGATTCGATAATAACTAAGAATAAGCTCCGTTATATAAATTTAATCGGAATTTATTATTTAAATATCAATAATTTCATTATTGAATCAAAAAATTTTTGGTAATAAGATCGAAATTAATTATCTCGAACAAATTGAGCTTGAGCATTTCAAATTATTTTGACAGAGTCGAAAAAATTTAAATTTTTTTTTTTTTTTCATAAAAAATGGTAAAATTATTTTTTTATTTCCAAAAATCATAAATTAAATTTATATTTTATAAATTAACCTGAATTCTTTTTCTATTAATTTTTTCAAATTATTAAATTAAATTCAATTTTATTTTTCGCAATTTCTTTTAATTTTTATGTAATAAATTTAAAAAAAATAATAACATAAATAGTGTTTTTTTTTCTTTTAATTATTTTTAAAATTACTGATTAATACGTACACATAATTTTTGACATAATTTTTTGTAAACACGCACTACAAAATGAATTTCATATTATCATAATTATAATAAGATTCTGGTAAAATCAAAATGACATTTTAAATTGTTGTCAAAAATATTACGGTTAATGTTATAGAATAACATTTCAGCGACTGTTATATTATTACTTTAATAACCATAGGGAAATGTATGTAATCAGAACAAGATTATAAGTAAAAAATTGTAAACGATGCGTATTGCGGAGAGAATTTATTCGGATTATACAGTCGGAACGGAAATAACAAAAAATAAACAAAAATTAGAGGTAGTACAGATATTGTATTAATATTTGCTTCAATTCACCACCAGACGTAATCACAGTAAAAATCTACCAGTCAAAATCCAAGACGTTTTCATAAATCGTATTGCCGATATTACTTAATTAAAAATATGACAATTATAATATTATTGACATATGAAATTTGTCATTCGTAATTTAATTTCGAAAAATGTCAAATAAAATTGTGATAATATGAAATTTATTTTGGAAGAACTACAAATCAATAACTAAAAATATAAGTGATTTTTTTTTAATTTTTTTTTAATACACAATATTTTAAATTAATCTTAAAAACTAGACTTTCCTTGTCAATTTTTTTTTGTATTTACTTTAAAAAATTCTTTTAATATTTCTCAATTTTTTTTGTTTTTGTTATTGCCTAAGAAATAAATTACTAATATTAACATAAATTTAATATTTAAATAGTTAAATAATTTTGTGTTTTTGTTTTACCTTAAAAATTTAACTATATGATGATGTGTTTTCAAATACCTGTAAAATAGAGAAGAGGAATTTGTATTACACTGAAATACGAGTGAAATTATAAGAGTGAAACTAAAATAAGAGTGAAACTATTTTGAAAAATAATTAATTAAAATTATGAATGAAAATTAAAATTTTAATTTGTGACAAACTACTGTTATACTAATGCTGTACAATATTCGCGATTTTATTTTAAAAAAATTATTCTAAAACAACTCACCTGTTATTGATAATCAATGTCGAAATGTTTATATTTGTTATACACACGTAAGTATATATATATATATATAAAAATGTTCGCATTTAATTAGTGTTATACAATATAACAAAAATTGCTTATTTTGTGCTCTTTTTTCCTTTTTCTTTAAATTCAAGGAGTCATAAATTTTTTGTTTTTGTGTTTTTCTTTTTTCAATATTCTAATGTAACATGAGGAAAGGTGATTCACTACCATTAGCACCTGTCGGACTATCAAGAGCAGGATTAACACGTTTTTCTTTTTGCCTTCTATTACAAAACCAAACTCGAACAACTTCTTTTTCCATACACAATTGATCAGCTAATGTTGAAATTTCTTCGCTAGTTGGTTTTTGATTTTGCATAAATGATTTTTCAAGTGCACCACGTACAGATGTTTCAATTGATGTACGTTTCTTTCGGCGTCTACCCATTATTTCAGGTGTTGTTACAGTTGTTTGTAAAGCAGCAGGATCAAATACACTATACCAAAATAAAAAAAAAAAATTATTAAAAACTTGTTAATAGAAATGAAAAGATTTAGAAGCGAAAAAAGAGAGAAAGCCAAGTCTAATAAGCTTTAAATATTTTGAATAAGAACTTACCCTCCTGTACTTTGAATTGTTCTATCGGCATCTTCTAACCATTTTTGTAATAACGGTTTCAATTTACACATATTTTTAAAACTTAAATTTAATGCTTCAAATCTTGATATTGTCGTTTGAGAGAAATCATTTCCATATAGTTTACCCATTGCTAATCCAACATCACCTTGTGTAAATCCTAATTTAATACGACGTTGTTTAAAAGTTTTTGCAAATTTTTCCAATTCTTCGAGATCTGTTGTTTCTTCAGGTGATGGTTCACCGGGTCTTGGTGTCCCCGATAAATGTTTTGCCATCTGTGGTGTTTGTATACCACTTCCAGGTGTATTTGGCGTTAAAATTCCACTAACTTGTTGTAAATTCCCAATATTACTATTAGGTGGCGTTGTTTGACTATTTGCAGTAAAAGGTAATACTGTTGAACCACTATGAATAGGACTACTTGCGGGACTATTAATTGGACTATTAGTAATTGTTGTTGCAATTGGTGTTGTAAGAATATTTTGTTGTTGTTGATGCTGTTGTTGCTGTTGCTGTGATTTAAATTCACGTTGCTTTTGTAATGCTTGTAATTGTTGTTGTAATACTTGTACATGATTTTGTATAAGGAACTGTGCCGTTTTAATTGTTGAATCATCATCTTGATTTGATAAATTAATTGTACCAGGAGATGGACTACCATTTGCACCAACAATACCTAATGATGATGGTGGAGTAGCTGCAAGACTACTTGTTCTAAGTAATTCTAAATAAATTTGTTGTGTTTGTAATTGTAACGCTGACGTATACTCTTGTGGTGATAATGATGGATTAATACCGGGTGGTGCTCCTAATAATGGTCTTTGTAAAAAAAGTGATCCTAATGCATTTGGCATTAAACCTGGCTGTAAATTTAATGGTGGTGGTATTGTTCCAGAACCTGATACTGATGTTGTAGTCGATGTTGTTATTGGTATTGGGCAAACACCTTGTGGTGGTATAGAAGGCGATGGTGATGATGTTCGATGACTATACGGCAAATGATGATAATGATGTAATGAAGATGCTGGTGATGGTGGTGTATTACGTGCAATATCATTTGTTAAATTTAAAGCAGTTGAATTATCTAATTCAGTTGCCAATAGTTCTGGACTATTCGATTGACAACGATCACTATGTTGACCAGTACTATCACGATCACCATCTTCCGATACTATAAAATATAAATATGAAGAAAACAAAAAAAAATAAAATTTAAAACTTAATTTGAATGAAGTCGAATAAAATATACGAATTTGTTATTAAATATTTAAACTTCAATCAACAAAGAGTTCATGAATGAATATAAAGTTATGCGGGGCGCACATATGGTCAATTTTCATGTTTAACATAAATTCTTTTCATTGAAAGAACCCCAAAATATGTTAAAATTTTTTGATATTTTACTTTTCTTTTTCATTTTTTGAATATAATGTAAACGTTTTAGGGTTGCCATACGTTCTTAACCGGGAGAGTTTAACATTTCTTAAAAAGAGTTTTTACCAAATTTTTATCGTTTTTAATCTCTCAAGTGTATAATTTTTTTTTTTTTAAATAAAAATGCAATTAAATAAATGTCCGGACCATCCCAATCACCTAATATTTTGACATTATTTCAGATATAATTTTTCTTAAAATAGACGTATGCTTAACATCGAAAAATTTTATATAAAATCAGTTCATATAACCTTGTTGGGCTCATTCACAACAGTTGTAAACTTATTGGTTCAGTTCATTAAAGTTCAAACGCCTCCTTGATTCTTCTTAACTTAAGGTGGTCTGACGTTTATTTGTTTACGTCAAAATTACTTTTTCCTATTAGACCTAACAAGATTACTTTTTTTCATTTGAATATTAAATATTGCTTAAACCATATTTCAATAATTTCCAAACCTAGAAATTCGGAAGCTTTATAGAAAAAATGTATTCAATATGTATCGCTTTTTATTTAATATAAACACAATGCCATGTGTGTGTATATTTTACAATTTAAGAAAAAAAACAAAAAAAGATGAAAAATAATCACCATTGGACTTCATAAAATTGTACTCGTACTCTATAACATCGACACATTTATGGATATGGAAATGCAATTTTTTTTTCTCCAATTTTTATAACCCATTTGAAATTTAATGTTCGAATGGAATAAAATGTAGCAGAAGTAACCAGAAGAAGAGAAGAACCAATTCATAAATGAAAATTATGCTAAAAACATGTTTGACCATAAAGGATAAAAGGAAAAAATATATACGAGTATATATAAATTTTTTTTTAAAGAATGTTTTATTTTAATTTTTTGAACTACACACACAAACAAACCCATATTTTTTTCCTTTCATGCATCGTTTGATATGCAGATCACAATTTTAACATTATTTTTTTTTTTATTTCTTTTTTTTTTATTATAATGTCCGAGTTTAGTTATAGCATTTTAATATTGTATTTTTATATTGCAGTTTAATAATAACAAAATATTCGAAAAGCACGAATATTCGGTTTCCACCAAAACAAGAAAATTGCGAAAATTTGAAAAAAAAAAAAATTCTTTTAACATAACAGTTACACAAAATTCTGTAAAGTGTCCCGTAATCGTACTCCAAATGTTAAAATCACTCAAGTATTATTAACAATCTAATTTAGACTATTGCAATCTGGAATAGTAGGAATCGCATTTGGTTATACTTAATAAATATGAATTTAAGCCATCATACATTTTGCACGAAATCTGCACGAAATTTTTTCTCCTTTACAATATTTTGTCAATTTTTCTCTCCATAAAAAACAATTTCTCAATATTCCATTCCAGAGAAAATTTAAATAATGTCTTCGATAACATTAATTTTGTTTTGCTGATCTATTAAACCGAAAATAAGAAACAAGAAGTTAATGTTTCAGGTGCTTCAAACAGATCTTTGTCACTCCTTCCGAGGTCTAACAACTTCGCACGCATTTGATCAAAAGATTTGATAGTACTAATGTATACGGGGTCGCAAATAACCAAGTCTTTTATGGGTCGAAATGAGAAGAGTCGACGGACACCAGTCTTTCTGTGGGGAAAAAGACCATAACAGCACGAATTTTAAAATTTATTTACAAACATAGTAACATTGTTCAGCACTTCAGTTCATATCGACTTATTTAAATGAGTCACAGTGTGTTATTTTATATATAATTTAAATTTATACATATAGGTAACGATGGAATTCCATTTGGGAATAAAAACTGAAATAATTTCAAAGTCCGAATAACCTTTTTTAGATTTTGTGTTTTTTTTTTCTCTATTTTTATTTCGTTTACTCTTTTAGTCTGCATATATGTACCAACATTGAATATTTGAATATCATATGTGTACTTAGGATAAGGATAGTAAAGAGGATGCAAAAATTTCAAATATTCAAAAAATTGTTAGCCTTTTTGTTTTTTTCAAATTTAAATAAAACAGAGTAAAGAAAAAAGGTGAATTAATAAAGTCTTATATCAAAATTTACTTCTTTCTTTATGGTAATGTTTTATAAATATTGCATAAATATATATGTATATTTGCCAAAAGTGTGTTTGTATATACATACGGATATTTATAGATGTAAATGTGGGAAATATGCAAATAAAGAATAAAATGCAAGCAGATGAAAGTAACAATGAAAAAGAAAATAAAAAAAATTCATTTTTATGCAAAATATTCATTTTCTTGAAGGACCTTTGGAAAATTTTCTTAATGTACATATGCAAATGCAATATAAATAATATCTACATATGAGTCTTTTGTATCCCTTCTATACCTATACACTTAAAAATTAATTTTTGGCAAAATCATAGTGTAAGCTAATGTTTATAAATTGAAAAATTTAAATTTTTGGTTTCCTTTAAGTTTACTGCTAAAAATAATATTCAAAACAAAGTCCTAGAAGATCAAAGATTCAATAGAAAAAAGTAATTTCACGGTCCAGTAAATCAAAAATTTCGTTGATGGTATTGTTGTTTTTGTTGTGGGTAATTTTGAATTTGAAAGTTTATATATTACGTTGTATTGCCACTTCCTTTCTCATAAAATATGGAAATGGGGACTATAGTTGGGATGAAAATAAAAAAAATATTCAAATTTAGCTGGCTAAAAATGCAAACAGTGTTGTCGTTTTCAATTATATTTGATATTTTTACTTATATAAGCAAGGCAAAGAGGCAAGTCTGAATAATTCAATTTACGTCCGTGATATTTTAACACATTCACATATTAACTGTATAAAGCGCTGGTGAGCCTTACACGATTTATGAGATATTGTTTCGTAAAATATGCTATGCCGCACTAAATCAAAACAAATTAGTGGAAAATTCAACAATTCAATGAATAAAATCGTTTTAAATCAAATTCAATATAACAGCAGCCAGCGCCGAATCTACCATATATGCAAAGTAATCATTTGTAATGGGCTCCAAAAAACAAGGGCGCTATTGAAAATAAAAAAATTTTTTTTTAGTTTCTTCCAATTTTTTGCGCACTTTTTGAAAACACACCTTGGGCGCCAATCTAGTCACAACCGGGCGTGACAGCAGCTTGGAAGGATTTAAATTTTAAGGCGAATTGATTTTTTTAATTTAACACTTTAATCCTTTTGAAATGGTAATATTTTGGTAAAATATATTATTAAAAATATTTTAAAAATTCATTGAATTCCAAAAGGAATACTGAATTATTTATAATGGAAAAATTAGAATGAGCATGAAGAGAGAAACAAGCACAAAACCATCGACATTAAAAATTCGGACATGTAAAGAGCAAAAAAAAAAATAACACATTTTAAATATTTGAAGAGTCCCTGACAGAAAAAATGAAAGAATTAAAATCAAAAGTAAATACTATTAAAATTGTATGTATGTAAAAAAAAAATAACAAAAGAGAAAAAGGACATCAAAAGAAAAATTCTCACTTCCTGAATAATTTTTTGCAAAACTTTTTTTTAAAATTTGTTTTTAAAATGAATTCAATTTTCTTTTTAATTTTACCTGAAGTGCCTCCTTATTTTTTTATTTTTATAAATTTTTACATTTACATGGCATTTAAATTTTTAAGGATTAAAACTAGGGAGAAATGAAAAAAACGGATATTAAAAGAATATTTTAAGGATATTAAGTGAGTTTTGATGTTATTTTTTTTAGTTGAGTGGGTCTGTTTTTTTATATTTTTGAAAACGATTAAATATTTTAAGGGTACTACAACAAAAATAATAGTAAAATTTTCAATTATGATAATTTTAACCTTTTTTTTCGATTTTGAGAGAGGTGAACTCTTTTAAAAGTATAAAAGTAGTTGGTTATAAGCAAGTGGATGAAAATAAATTTAAACTTTGTAATATTAAAATAGCCCTACGTACAAAAGGCAACTATATACATGTATAATAAGGTCATTATATTGAAATTCATTGAAATTATTGCTTAGTATTCTGAATATAAAAGTTCTACCAATATAGACTCCCAACATTACAATCAACAGGACATTTTATATATCTGATAAAATAAATTAAATGTTAAAAGGGTAGTCATATTACGCTCATCTGACGTTTATGGCGAATGCACAGCCACATCATCATAGAAGGGGTTCACAATTTAACAAAGTTGCCAAAATATTTAAGTTTACTTTAAAAATCAGTGATCTATTCGCGCAAAAATATTATACTCGTATGAATGTTGTTTATTACCTTCCCAAGTTTGTTAATAAGCGAAATTGCCTCAAATGGAGTGAGATCAGAAACAAGGAGGGAAAACCGCTCAGTTTAGTATATTGCAAACTTTTCAAGCATTATCATTCTTTATATACGTGACATTCGAACTATATGACAACGTGAACGATACCAACTATTGATTTATTGACATACAATTTTTACAATAATTTAATTTTTGAGAGTAAAATAAACCCTGAGACTGTGAAATCATTGTTTCTTAATTTTTCAGAACTTAAGATGGAATGAACAATTTGCTGCCGGCAATATTGGTACAACAGTGAATTTTTCTTTTGTATGGAGATTTTTTTCTGAATAAATTATTTGAATTTCTAACTGATATAATTAATTGTTATTCTAATATGGCGACACTATTCTCACCAATAATTATGTTCGGAGTGCTCGATATAGTGCTAGCGACACGGCACGATTTTACTATTCGGAGTGTCGGCTATTTTTC